CCAATATTTTACACATGAAGTTGTATGATATATGCTTATATTTTTTCTGCCACATTCTCCGAGTGTTCCAACATTTGTAGAACTTTTATGAATCCCAAGAATAAATTTACAAAAGTTAAGATGAACCTTTTCAATATCATGTCTATACTCAAAACCCCAAATCTGTGAACCATATAATAGTATTGGTTTTATAATGCTATCAAAAATTTTAATACATATATTGATACTTGGATAACCAGTTCTCCTTATTAAACTTTTTATGGGAATAAGAGCCCTTTCAGCTTTGACGGCTAAATTATTAATGTTTTTGCTCCAGTTCAACCCAAATAATTATAATAAGTTATTGTTGTAAGAGGTTCATTGTTATAATACCATCTTTCGTATTTACGTAAAGTACCACCATTTCTAAATACAATAATTATTGTTTTGGAAAAATTGACATTAAGATTAAATTATCACAAAATGATTATAAAACAGAAATCTTTCTTTGAAGATCTCCTACAGTATCTGAGAATATTGAGAGATCGTCAGCGTACAGCAGTGCTAATATGTCTTAAACCTCTGCTATTGTGAATATTCCATTTACAGTATGTTCCATTTCCAGCATATCAATAAGTTGGTTAATATAAAAACAAAATAATATTGGGCTTAGAATACAGCCTTGTCGTACACCAGATAAACAATCAAAAAAGGGTGTTATTTGAGTTTTACACATGAACTCGTAGAATTATACATCGATTTAAGTGTTGTATACATTTTACCATGAATATCCTTTTTAATCAGTAGAGATAATAATTTCAATCTATTTAAAGAATCGAATGCTTTAGAAAAATCAACATAGAGGCAATAGAACCTCCCTTTAGATTTAGATAATTACTTCTGAACTAATCCATGAAGAGTGAATATTTGATCTATAGTCGAGTACCCAGTACGAAAACTTGCCTGAGCGTCCGTATATTTGTCGAGTGATTCTGACCATATTTGCAATCTATAATTCAAAACGGACGTATAAATTTTACCAAAGCTATCCAAAAGAGAGATACCACGGTAATTATTCACATCGCTTTTGGAGCCTTTTTATGCAAAGGGGATATCAATGCTTTCGACCTTGAACTGGGGAAACGACCACTATCAAATATTGCATTAAACAATAGAGTCAATATACGGGTTAATTGTGAACAACAAGATTTTATAAAATCGATTCCAATATCCTCCATACCAGGTCATGTACTTGCTTTCATTTTCTTTATACGTTTCATCACTTCTTGTTCTTGTATTCTGCCGTTTAATATAAAATCTGTTTCACATGCTGTGTTAGCACAAGTGTTTTCAAAAGAATTGACATGTAAGAAAGTTTCGTGTGAAAATTCACTATTGATGGTGGCAGGTGACGGATTCAGTAACTCTTTAAAGTAGTTAGCCCATTCTTCTGGTGATATGTTAGGGAATATTTCGTTTCTAGGTTTATAAGATTTTAAACTTTTCCAAAATTAATTATATAACAATACTGTAACACCGTGATAACGTTCCAAACAATATCTTTATAACCCATCAAGACAACGTACCTGATAACGTACCAAACAATATCTATATAATACGCCAAGACAACGTACCTGATAACGTACCAAACAATATCTATATAATACGCCAAGACAACGTACCTGATAACGTACCAAACAATATCTATATAATACGCCAAGACAACGTACCTGATAACGCACCAAACAATATCTATATAATACGCCAAGACAACGTACCTGATAACGTACCAAACAATACTTATATAACACGCCAAGACAACGTACCAAACAATAATTGTATAAACCAAGATGATGTAACTAACAATACCAGTCCTAGATAACGTACCTTATCCATACACCAAGTCAACGTAAAGTATCCATAGCTATAAAACACACCAAGACAACGGACATTATGCCTACCAATACAACACAACAGGATAGCGTACCAGACAATACATATTTAAAACACCATGATATCGTACCAAATAATACCAATATGACAGATTTTAACATTTCAAAAAATATTTATGACAAAGTTAGTTTTCAAGGATTTTATTTATGCATGATTTCCTTTTGCTTATTTGAATTTTTGGATAAGTCAGGTGTCAGAGAATCGTGAGTCGGTGCTACACAAAATCTGAAATTAGTTTAACACGAAAAACGTGAAAACGGAATTTGCTTCTTCAGGTATGATAAATATCTCTTCTTCGACTCAAACCTTCAAAACAACAAATGGCTACTCGTTCTATGGTTAAGAATTGATGTTTCAGGAAAGAAAACAAATCCTTGTCTGCTTTTTTTCAAAACATAACGCCCAATATTTGAATTAAGTTAATCTAAAAAGCTAGTTGTCAAGATTCATTGGGACGATTTAAATTTACTCTGACAGTCCAAATTCACGAAATCGATATCGACACTTGGACAACTGTAGGCCTATAAGGCCCGAGCATAAAGGATGGAATGAGTGGGAAATAAATTCCATAATTTGAACTTAGAAGATTCGTAAGTCTTTAGTAGGAAACCTTTCTCCTTTAACTTAACTGACTGAAAACCATTCTTCATCTGATTTTGCATCCAATATGACAATCAATTTTACAGTATAATTAGTGTTCATTTAAATTGTAAATGTTTCATAAAAATCAGCATAGGAATTTAAGAAATAAGCTAAAATTTACAAAAGAACCAGTCTATCTGGTCTTGTATCTTGAAACACGCTCTATATTAAGAAACCTGATAATAATTGAGGGGAATTTGTAATTTAAATGAAGATGTTGGAGGATTTCGAAATAAGATTTCCCGGTGATCAAGTCATTCACCGACTTCAGTCAACCAAATATCACTGACTTGACAGGACTCATGAATATCAAGTTCTTCCTTCCCAATAGTGGATTTCATGGTCGTATGTAAAACTTCACTCTTTTTGTAATTTTTTTTCAAATAGTGAATTAAAAGCTAGTATGTAAACATGCACTTTATGATGCAAATGAAAGTTTTAATTAGGGTAATGATTTACAATTTGGTCATATCTTTCAACATCGCTACTGAAAGCTATGATGGATCGCGATGGATTGACCGACCTAACATTCAAAGAGATAAAACAATAGACACCACACAACCTTGCCCTCTTTTTCTTCTCGAGAGACCTTTTTTAAATTTTCAATTCATTATATCCTTCGACTGAACAGTGAAAAGCTAATTTTAACAGACCACCCATTGTTTATTACAACATCGCAAAGATTCATCCATTGACGTTATTACACCATTTGATAATTGACCAGTTGGAAATGCTGTTATTTGATTGTACATGACGGTATGGGTCTATTCCTCATCGGAATTCCATTTACCCACATTTATCAAAGCGAGGTTTAAAACTGTCGCTGTTGCTACTTTGAAATAAATTCCACATATCTATATAGCAGCGAATTATCTTTCTATTCCAAATTAGTTAAACATCCTACTCAAACATTCTCCTCAGGTCGCCCCGGATGGACATTACTGATTAGATTGATCGGCGATCTCTGAACAATTTTCTCCGTTGACAATTCAATTCAGTTTTTTCAGAAGCAAAACAAAATAATCAAAATGATTTAACATTCCACGACTGTGTGGATTTCAGCTGATACGCTAAAAAATCACCCACAGACCGATCGGCAGCGTTATTAAGCGAATTTGTGTAAAAGATATCATCCAGGTTTGAAACTAAATAACTGTTTTAAACAGAATTATTGTCAAACACCATCCGCACAACAAATGGCCAGTTTGAAAGCGGTCGTGGGAACACGCTAATTATGTTAACAATTATTCACTACAACACTTTGCAGTGTGATGTTCTAACTGTTTTTTAATCAATCTGTAAGCTAATTGGTTATTTATATCTGTTATTTTCAGAAATGGAAATTAATACGAGAAAATTATTTATCTACATACTAACCATCGTTGTTACCATGGCAACTTTGTCAAATCCAACCAACCAGTGCCGCACCTTGTCGACAGAAGTGGAAATTGTGAAGGAGATTACAGAGGAGCATCTGGGAACCGAGTATGTGCTGAGTTGTGTCGCTAAGTTACGTGTCAACAAATGTGAAGGGGTGTGCGATTCGAGCGTATCGCCCAGCGTTAGAAATCACAGAGGACTGAAAAAGGTAAATCATTTTCATTCATGATAAAAGCATCGGAAGATGGAGATAGAGGACTTATATGACAGGGGTTCAAATTATTAATCATTTAAAAAAGGGGAATCTCAGTATACAAACAGAAATCAGTTGCGTCAGTTTGCATTTAAAACCTGATTTTCAAAAATATCGCCTAAATCTTTTAAAAATCATTTCACTGCCTTATGATGGACACAGGCTTCAGTTTATAATATAAGTTGGTTCAAAGGATTCGCAATATGATTTTGTCTTTTAAGAATTGTAAATGCTGTCGTGAAAGAGAATTAGTGTCAAGAGTTATCGTACTTGATGAATGCTACTATGACGGTGACCTGATGCCTGGAGTAAGAACTACTTCAGTTATGGAACCTGTCAACTGTGGATGTTACCAATGCCATGATTAAACTCGAAGTCTGTGGCAGACGAAGTCCTATGGTGAAACTATTTGGACGATGTATTGTTGCAAGGCTTGACATCTACATCGTCTGCATGTAATGTTCATGTGAAGCAGTGTCTATAATTCCCGCCAATGACCTATATCATAATTTTATCGAAGCTTTGTTATGTCATATTATTTGACACCTGTCTTCAAAACAAAAACATGTATTGTATATTTTAATCATTGAAATTTATCTAGAACATTTCCTCGTTAGTTATAATCCAAAGTAAAAATCAATTTCAGTTTGGAATATTTTATTCGAATTTGAAAAAGAATTAAATAATTTGTACAGATATCTGTCAATAATTCCAAATTAAAATCGTTAAACAATATTGATGTACATTTTTGAAAAAGTACTACACTACCAAGACAGTGTTCAATATCCAATGGTCAATATCGGATGTTTTCTGTTGTGTTTCGAGGTAAAGAAGACATGGCTCTATTCATGGCTGCTGTACTTGGTCTTGTTTTACTCTCTCCTGAAATAACATAAACCATTTGTAACAATTTGAAAGAATTTATTAGAAGAGCATCTGTACTCAAATGGCCCAAAATATTGTATTAGGTGTTCTAACCATTACTAATGCAGAGGACATCTAGTAACCCAGTAATATCAAGTTTAGCCTTGTTGTCAATATAATGATCAGAATTGAAACCAGAAATGTATAATGCAGACATCAAACAAAATCAGGTTAATTTCACTATGAGAAAAAATTGGTGACTTGTTACATATAACTAATATTTCCTTAAACTAGAGTTCCGACAGAATACCAACTCTTAAAAAGCCCATTTGACTATCGACCAATGAGGTAAACATGAATATGTTATATGTTATATGCAAAGGGATTTTGTGCTTAAAAGCAGTAGTGAGCAAGATTCCTTATTGATATCATTCTATACATTTATCATTAATATTATTATTATTTGCACTGAATTTGAAATTCACTATAATTAACCATATTGTAAGAAAAGAAATAAGTGGGAGGATTGATTTAGACCATGGAATATTAGATGGGTTATTGTAACGAAAAGTAAATGTAATTGATATAGGATCTCTGGAGACCGCTGTATAAATATTATTATTGATATAAATTATAGTCGATACGGTGTTCGCTTTAACTATCATAACAGTATTATAGTAATCGCAGCCGAATCTATATTTTGTTAATCTTACATGCACCGACGGTTTGCGAACAATAATTTTCGGAGAGTATTTTGCAAAATATTGTACAAGAGTACCACGTAAATGGATTTATTTTGTTCTTTTTGAATAGGATTAAATCAGATGACCTTATAGACTCTTTATATTCTACAAAATTATTACGCGAAAGCTACTAGATGTATTTTGTTCTTTTTGAATAGGATTCGGCCTTAAAAATTGTACAAAATTATCACGAAAAAGCTTCAGTAATAGTACGTTTTTGAAATAGGATTCAGATACGCTTAGAGAATAAGTTTTTTTTCAGATTGTTGAGGACTCTTCAAGCAATGGTTTATGATATCTACTTGGTACTTTTTACTCACCTAAATGACGCTTGTTCGAAATAGCTTTCATCATACCTTGCTGTTCCTCAATAGCAGTTTCGTCAATTTTTGTACGACCTCTCTTACGTCTACCATTACTGTCTGTCTGTCTTTCCGCTGCGTTGACCGTAGATGTTCTTGTAGGTCTGGATTGTTTCAATTGCTTATGATCTGCAAATCACAATATAGAAATTAACAATTAAAAAGCAATATGACACCATTATTTGTTGATCGAAACAATGTGTATTTAGGTTGATTTGGTAGTTACTTATAATCACATAGCTTTCGATTATACCATTAGCGTATTGATTAAAATTACCATGTTTGGCTGGAATGTTGTTCTTTGGAACACCTTCTGGAAGCTTCTCTAAATAATCCAGATATTTAGCATTGACTAGACGTTTTTTATAACTCTCTTCTATTTCTTGACGAGTTCTTGGCATTCGGAAATCAAAACAACAACAAACAATTACCACTGAAAAAAAGTTATACTTAAGTTGACCAATGAAGAGCTTTATTTGGGGAAGACGCCATTGAGGAGATTTGAACTAAATACAGTCTAGTCGAGGAGAGTGAAATGCCTTTGCAATTATACGCCATGTATTTGGCGGCAGCAACATTAAGAGTTACAGTAGACAGTTGAGTAGGCTAGTTCTGATATTTCTTCATTATACGTGTTGGCCTGCTTTTAAAATATGTAAGTTTTGTTTAGCACAAATTCTTCTTTTTTAGTCTATCGACTTGCATAAACTGGTCCGTTATTCCATCTAAAGCTTCGCATCGATAAGTGAACACAACAGAGGTCAACTCGACTTGCACACCCTGATAATTGTGTGACATATATTAGTGATGTGTTCTTAACACCGGAACAGCATTGGGCAGATGTGCATTTATGGACAAAGTAAGAAGAAGAAGAATTTAGTCGCAGTTAATACCAATAATCGAATGTTGTTTCCAAAGTTATGTCCCTTTAACTACCGATTCGATTAAAAAATAATTTAAAAAAAAAAATAAATACTTTTCATACTTACTAACAATAATAAGAACTGTACCCACGATGAATACCAAATGCCATACTCGTAACGGACCTAAAACTTCCGTTTCTACTGTCAAACCTTCATCTTTCTTACTTTCAGTTTTACTCGGACCCTGATATAATTAAATGGGCATTATAACTATAAGCTGCCAACGAAATAGAAATAAAACAAGTTGGTTGATAAATAAACCAAGTACTAACTGTCAAAAATTACGTTCAGTATAGAGATAATATCATCAAGCTCTATGTTGGACTAAATATATACCCGTATATCAAATACAGTGTTTGTGATTATATTACCTTATCAGTGGTAGCTAGACTGTATACAATCTGTATTAATAAAATTAATACCACATCCATTTTCAATATTCTATTGATCTGTTTAGTGGAGTTCATTGTCAATCCATTTATTTTATATTAATGGCAGTCTCAAGATAAAACAACTATACTTGTCAAAAATAAATGTTCGAGGTAGGTACTTTTCTGTTCCACATTCTGAGACTATCCAGAGTATCCAAATCTAAAATCAAGCTTTATTTGATTAACCTCCAATTCGAGAATGAAAGGCATAAACGTTCAGAAAGATTAAAAACTTCAAACATGGACACACATTGGTTAACCATTTTACGCATGAGACAGTCAGACGGGAAAATTAATTTGCCAACGACAATGGTTTTGTTGGTATTTCAAAAATTGTACGTCGAAAGTATTTTTTGTGGGACCTGTGAAGGTTTCGCTTATCTGAATGTCAGTTATGTCCCCTTACACAGCAGAACACAAAAGTCTGTTTTGAAATTTTGAAATAAAACCGAACGTCAAATCATACAATCAAACCACTGTCAAATCCTGTTGAAATCTTCACACTACCGAATATTCGAATAGGGTATCACTTAATGTTACACTAGTCTGATGTATGATAAGTTCCTCTTGCGATTTCCATCATCACGACTACTACAGTATAGAATAACTCTGGTATAGTTACAATCACCAAGTGTTCTGTATAGAAATGACAAATAAATCGATCACTATTCAATTGTTTCTTTGATACTTTGTGTTTACTCTACCAAGACTACTAGTAGACTTGATTATCCTGATATTTATTGCCTTTTTTAATGGTTGCAGAATTAAATGAGATCTATTTTATATTTCATTCAGTATTATTGAATGTCTTAAAGCAATTGATTAGTTTGAAGAAGCCTGGAGGAACTGTGACAGAGTTGTAAGGGAGATTTAGCTGTTGGAAACCAGGCGAGTATGTTTACCAGCAGAGTATGTGACAAGTGACAAGATCATAAAAAACATATTTTGGTTTGTGTCCACCACTCGAATTTACCTCAGAGTGTATTCGAAAGAACCTTGGAAGACTACTGCCAAAATCTGTTTGACGATTATGTCAGCTTAAACCCATATCATTTGCGATGTGTCATATACATGAATTAATCGCTTGAATTGTACGTATAACGTCTGAATGTTCGAGTATAAAATATATAACATATTTCTATAGCAACATATCATATCAACAATTACTCTTTTAAGTTATTGCTATGTATTGATTTTAGACAGCGATAGCAGTATTAAAGGTAAATAAAGATTTAATTGTGTACTACAGACCATTTTAAGTCTTTTGGTTAAGAATGCATAATATTGAAACTTATAGCCTGTTGATTTTGTATACATCTACTATTGGTACAATTAGGTTATGTTCTTCTGAACTGGAGGGTTAGTTCACATTGACTAAGGTGTCTTAACCATCACCACGAAACCAGATACATAATGTAACTTTCGGTAAGAGACATCGGGCTTTTCCAGGAACAAAGATCTTAAAACATGACAAAAATATGATCACTGTCTACGTATGAGGTTTGGCTTCTTATGTCACGGGGGTATTCGAGTTGAGCTATACTAATTGGTCGGTTGCAACAGATATGGAAGTCGATGACTTCCATTTAAAAAATAAGTGACATTTAGGGGTAGAGATCACATTAAATACACAAATGTATGGTTTTATTGTACAATACCTTTCGCCTGATCATGACAATGTAGATTGTTGAAACGTTGTGTACAATAAAACAAGGAAGTAGTACACCATAAAACTGTGTTTCATTATTTAATTCATTTTAATGTTGGTACTACTCACGTGGATCTAGGGACGACAATCACTAGTATCACGTGGTACCTTCTGTTTCTGTCACATCATTATATGGTGTCGATTCAAGTTGAATCGGTAGTGAGAGAATGCTGCTATGACGAATGATTCAAACCAATTAAGGATATAATAATGACATAATTTAATAATTAATGCACTGACAAGAATATGGCAAATACATAGTAACAAATAAATGTCATATACAAAGGATTTATTGAGAAAAAGGCATAGGTTTCGGTTGAAACGTCCACACAAAATATCACAACATTGACTAGAAGCTATGAATGAATATTGATGAACTATACGTGGTTATCGACTTTTAACAAATTATACACTTTGAATATTTTCTATTGAGAAGTAGACAATGTAGTATATGCGCAACGGTAATCGTAACATTGGAATCAACTAGTTCTAAACCAAAACTTCAGCCACATTCGAAAACCATGAGTCCTAATATCGAAGATGGCAAATCACGACAGTAAGATAGCATAGCAATAATAGATACTAAAGTAACAATTTGCTTGCTATACTAGCCGCATTGGAAATACGACAGAGTTTATTCAAAATGAGCACTAATAATGCAAACCTCACCGCACAACTACAACATAAAATCCTAACAGATGAATTCAAATAACATAAAAACATCAATTGATGTAGGAGATAATACCATAAAAACATCAATTGATGTAGGATATAATAACAAAAAAACATTTGGTGATGTAGGATATAATAACAAAAAAACATCACTTGATGTAGGATATAATAACAAAAAAACATTAGGTGATGTAGGATATAATAACAAAAAAACATCACTTGATGTAGGATATAATAACATAAAAACATCAAGTGATGTAGGATATAATAACATAAAAACATCAATTGATGTAGGAGATAATACCATAAAAACATCAATTGATGTAGGATATAATGACATAAAAATATTAGGTGATGTAGGATATAATAACATAAAAACGTCAATTGATCTAGGATATAATAACATAAAAACATCAAGTGATGTAGGATATAATAACATAAAAACATCAAGTGATGTAGGATATAATAACATAAAAACATCACGTGATGTAGGATATAATAACATAAAAACATCGTGTGATGTAGGATATAATAACATAAAAACGTCAATTGATCTAGGATATAATAACATAAAAACATCAAGTGATGTAGGATATAATAACATAAAAACATCAATTGATGTAGGATATAATAACATAAAAACGTCAATTGATCTAGGATATAATAACATAAAAACATCAAGTGATGTAGGATATAATAACATAAAAACATCAATTGATGTAGGATATAATAACATAAAAACATCAAGTGATGTAGGATATAATAACATAAAAACATCAATTGATGTGGGATATAATAACATAAAAACATCAATTGATCTAGGATATAATAACATAATAACATCAATTGATGTAGGATATAATAACATAAAAACATCAATTGATGTAGGATATAATAACATAAAAAAATCAAGTGATTTAGGATATAATAACATAAAAACATCAATTGATGTAGGATATAATAACATAAAAACATCAATTGATATAGGATATAATAACATAAAAACAGCAAGTGATGTAGGATATAATAACATAAAAACATCAATTGATCTAGGATATAATAACATAAAAACATCAATTGATGTTGGATATAATAACATAAAAACATCAATTGATGTAGGATATAATAACATAAAAACATCAGGTGATGTAGGATATAAACACATTTAAAAAAGATTGAACAAAATTTGTCTCAATCACAACCAAATTATGCAAAAGTTTCATATTTTCATATTCTTGTCACGTTACCTGTTTGTGACTGTACACACATCCACTCCATAAATTCTCGCCCTTGAAATGGAAACCGATAGTCCTAATCTCTTATGGCTATAACATTTGAACTTAGAGTGTTCACTCCAAATATATCTTAAAGCTATCTGATAAATAGATTTTCATAATTTTAAGTGAGATTTCCATCGCTACCAATATCTGGAAATTTATCCAATACTTGTTCCGAGGATCCTTAGGATAATAAACAGATGGACAACGCAGCTGATTAAAATTATAACACATAAAGTTATAAAAGGACAAAAAAAACCATTAAAATATCAAAACAGTTTCCGACATACTAAAACAAACCCATCTTTTTCTTAACGACGGTACACCACCAACACGGCCACGAGCTTCAGAATGTTCTAGAAAATCACCACGTGTCTTCATGAGACAAAGAAGGTGGCAATAACTGGAAGAATAACAACCATATAAGAAGTTATTAATGACGTTGCCATGGAATTCTGTATATTAACTGGTACAATAACTGATATTTTATTATCAGAGGTTGGTGGAATTTCATCGTGCTGTAACATCACTCCCGCTGAAATACAAAACATATAATCATTAACAATTTGTATGATGAAAAAATAGCTCTGATGCGCGACTTGATTTAATCACACGGCCCCTCTGGCTATATGTTTTGACACAATTTTTAGGCATTCCACACTCCAGAGGCTAGGAATCTACCACACTTATATCTTCACGTTTACAGTTCTATGTCGCGACTCCAGAGTTAGAAGACTTTAGGTGTGGTATTTAAACTGCTGCCATTCAGTGTTTCCATTTGGATACTAATATATATTTGATAAATCTATAAAGTTATTAATGGGGGGGAGACTACATCCACATTTTTTATTTGCATCATTAACATATTTAGTTTTGCTTAGATTACAACTTTCCGCATGTCGACCATCTCTTTTAACATGACAAATCAAATATAGATCAAACATGAAATAACCGTAGAATAAACGGTGATGGCTATAAATCAACTTAGCAGTAATTAAACTGCTCCAAGTTACCCAAACCTTGATAAATATTTGTGTCAGTATCGCAGAGAATGAATGATATAGTGCATTGAACAAGCAAACCAGAAGGGTGGTTATCTGAATGATATATTACGTTTTCATATATCATAAATTGTTTTAGTAATATGTGGTTTGTAAAGGTTCAGCCGGTTAGTGCTTGATAAAACTGGACAAAATTCCATCAAATTTATATTCGTGGCAATAATGATTACCTTCCGCTGCAAACAAGCCTAATAAGATATCGATCCGAATTGAGGTCCTGAATTATAAAATTACGCAATCAATCTACCAAAGTCTCTCGGATAACATTCAATCAGTCGTAAATTTAAATATTCGATTGTATTATAAGGAAATGTTTGGAATAATTCTCGTTTTAAATTATGATTCAAATGTAGTTGCAAAATGCAATCCTTTGTATTAACGTAGAAAAGGGTTACTAGTTTGTTTTTATGTGCACAAATATAGCCTTAAAGATATAAAAAAAAAGTTCAAAGATTAAGCGTGGTTTTTATTGCCTTTTTATAGATATATATTTAGACGAAACATTTCCTTTAACCCTGTTTGTGTCAGACCAGGGGGAGGTCGTCTACTCTCTTCGTTTGTTTCACAATCAAGAGAGAAGTGCTTGACAATTTAGTTAAATAGAAATTAAGGCCAGTCGGCAATATTGACGTTTTCAGTCTCCTTATAATCCTCGGTGGTCGAATATTAAGACGGTTGAAATGTCAAATATAAAGAGATGCCAGGATAGTCGAGACTCAATAGTCCTGATTATCACAGTTCAATTTCTAATTTATCATAAACTAGCTCGATGATTTCTATCTAAATATAGGATATTTACTGTCAGGCTTCTAAGAGATTGGATCTGGAAAGTTCATGAATTGTTTCCTCTGTTCCAAAAATGTTTAAATCCTCCACCTTGATAAATATATCACAACTTTAACAGTATCTATTCTATCATTTGGATTTTCTAACCCCGATCGAAAAAGAAAATCGAACTCACGCAAATACATGCCGATCTGACGTAATATTTCGTAATAAACGATTAGTCCTGGCATTCATTAGAACCGTTTCATTATTTCTGACTTTTTCTTGACGTTTACCAGAGACATTTTATAAGAAATTCCGATATATAATTCAGCTGGAAAATATCTATCCATTAATAATGAACCAACATTAATACTATTAAGAAGACAAGTTTGATGGATTTCTAGGAAATATCGCCAACTAAGTAAATTATTGGTGTTATGCATGAAGATAATATTCTTATATTATTTAATAAAATATTATGCATCTTGTAAAATGACATGAGCAATCTATTCTGCACCAATGGTTTAACAATTTAACATGCAAGGTTTTTTTTCTACTGATAATTTACGAAATCTCTATCGGGATTGCAACTTCCTTCATTACTGTTATCTATCTACAGCTGGGTTGTCTGAAATAATCAACTTATTCGTGGTTGTCAAACTTTCAATGAATATCAAACACGTATTGAAAGCATTTGATTGGATACACGGGTTTCAAAATCACTAGAGAGACCAAATCATTATCCTTTGTTTGCAGAAAAAAATGATGCAAAATTTTCTATGAGGTATATCAAGCCTTGACGAAATACTCCCTTGTATACAAATTAGTATACACTGTAGAATGGGTGTAATAATGCTGTCGTAGAATCAATTAACTACAGAACACACCAGTAGAACATATTTTGAATGTTCACGTTTTGCCAAACACAATGATCACTTTAAGATGTATTTCTCCGTAATTATATTCAGTGTTCTACTTACTGCTCGTAATGTGACCACGTGCATACAGTTGATACCATTCATTGAATAGATCCAAGTGATCATCTTTATTGATCTTTAATGGTCTGGTAATTTTACAGTAAATGAAACCGTCTCTATATCTGGCAGCAGTCAGGTTAAAGTTGCTGTCTTTAGGTTCAGGTCGAGCATGGCGGACGATATTCGTCATAGCCACTGCTTCTACATCTTCGTTAAAATCTGTTTTACGCTTACACACCAACACGTCGTCATTTCCTCCCTAAAATGTAGCGAGTGATAAGCTTTCATAGTATTTACCAACGTTTTAAACTTACATTACATGTATTTAATATAACAGTGTTGTTGAAAGGGATCTTAAAATTGAAGACATGGTGTATTGTTTCTAATTAGCTTGTTTGAAATATCTACAGACTAAACGGCGTTTTCTTGAAAGTTCTTTAAATCTGGTTTATTGATATTCAATGCATATCCTCAATTTCTAGTATCGTGACATAGGATAGGTCACAAACAATGTTTTTAAGTGATTGCAGGCTTGTGTCATACTTACCATACTGTCGTCAGAGGAGAAACCTATCGCCACCCAGCCCATAGTTTCAGCACTGATCTCTATCTCCACGTCACTAGGGCCAAGAGTTTTATACGACACAAAATACTGACATTCCATATGAGCACATTCTGGAGAACCAAACCTGCAATTTACAAATTAGTCCATAAAAAACATTTTACCACCAGTTACCCTTCAATTAACAGGAAGCAGCATGTGAAATTTACACCGAATTTAAATTGGCTTTGCATCGCTGGCAGAATCTATCAAAAACTAAAACATAAACCGATAAACAGTTTTGAGTTTTGTGGGCTCCATTGATATTTTTCAGTAACCATCGCATTATTGTTATGATACCGATAACGTAGGAACAAAAAGCAAAATTATAACAGTTTTTATCAGCCAAGAAAAATGTTCCTAACTGGTTGAACTAGTCTTAGTATACCAAGAACTTACTTCCGGCAACAAAATGCTTTCCAGAAAACTGTATAATGAAAGCGTCAACTGAATACAGAGATGATTGGTTCTATCTGACTCAATAACATAATTATTTCCACATGTCGTATTAGCCAAATCAGACAATAAATGGGGAAACACGAATAAATGGGAAAACACGCTTTCTGATCAAATGATTTGTCGTAAAAAAAATCATGGCCATGCCAATCATGCTTCAATTCTTCAATAATATTTCATCTAATTTTACCTTTAATCTATTTTCAATTGTTCTTGTCTAGACTATATGACTCTCATTGTAAACATACTTCATAGTCCTAGAGCCTGTCACTCAATGTCTTTATTTGTACTATTAATAAAATGGAAAATTTCGGTGCTAAGACAAACTAACAAACTAAAAATTGCGGAAATTTGGGTGAACATTGGTTCGCGTAATTGAAAATCATAATTCAATTTTGAATCCGTGTAAGACCAACTTTGGGTAAAAGGATAGAAAATGGCATGTAGTTTGAATTCTTTTAAAAGAAGAGTACCTTATACAAGTAAGTTCTTTCCCACAGTCTCTTGGTTTAAGTGGTGTTCCATCTAAAAAAAAAAAGAAGAAAAGATCAGAGAAATAGATAACCTGCAGGTTGAATGAATTTATGTTTTATCTAGAAAACTAGCAGAGGTATGGAGTTAAATCTTAAAAGTATCTTAATTTCGAGAAATGACTCGACTTATCGGTACTAATATGTCGTTTAACACGTGTCGACCTCCTTTTCGCTATTCAATATAACTGAAACAAACAATAAGCCAGAAGTCTGCGAAGAGCATAGAGTAACAAATTAGCTGAAATCCATATAGCCTCATTGGGAAAATAAAATCTTCAGTCTATAAGATTGACGTGACGTGTTACAAGGCTAAGACATTAACAATCATTATGTTCAAAAGTTTACTTTCGTTTCTCGTGTAGAAACAGTATAAAATTTGTCTGAACCGGATATCTCCCCATCTCGCTAATTCTGGCTAAATCTCCCAATCGCTTTAAATGTCAATAGAAAGCTTGTTAATGATGTTTGTGTATAATTCTGATAATGTTTCTAAGCTTCCATTATATTCTCGTTATACCCTCCTCAAGTCAGCTTCAGTTTTTCTTGACATTATCAAATTGTTTATTTTATAGAAAAATTTAGTTCCATGTGTTTGCTTTGAATTTCGTATCTTTAAAGTTTACGAGAACTGAGATGAGTGTTCGGAGAAAATTGATAGAAAATTGAATTATGTTGACAAGAGAATTGTTAGAACAAAACACGATTTAGAAAACACAGATACAATTTAGTATAATTGAATGAACATGATATTGTGACGGTAAAATACCATTGACAGTTACATTTAATGTATCATGTTTATCCAAAAACTATTTATTGGAAATGAAACACTTAGTTCTTGTCACGAGTGTTGCTAGCCAGATTGAACTCGTGATGCCACTCTACGACTGGATTCGCCCAATCGTTGTCAATTCAAGAATCCAAGAAGCTTATTTTTTATTACGGTATAATTCAAACTGCTTCAGTTGTCTTCAAAATAGCATATTGTCTGAAACTGACATTGTCCATGGTCATAGAAATTTTAACATTATATTGTGTTTAGAGAACATTTAATATGAAATATAGTACATTCAAACACGTTATTTCTGGTATTATAGCATTGCCTAAGACGAGTCCATTAATTGAGAAATTTCAGATGTTGGGTGATACAAGGATTCGTACATGACATATGTTCAACAAACGTTCGATTCCCTAGACAAATGGAATGTCATGTTTTGACCCCAGCTGATGTGAGAGTAAAGAGGACCCGAGATAATTCTAGTCCCATATATATATTAGTATGTCTTGTAGAAACTAAATCGATCGTTTCAAATCTACTTTTCTCACTAAATTACCTTTCAACATAATATAACTATCTCCAGAATTACACGTGAGCTATATTAACTTTCCTGAGGGTAATAACTACCTAGTCCACATATAAGTCATAAAACTTCAATTTCCTATCTTACAACAACGAGCAATAAAATCATCTGCTCTCTTCACACATTCGTCCGTAAATGCAAAATTCACTTTCAAGTGAAATTGAATTTCAGCTAAAAAAAAAAAGAAATCAGAACTAATAGTCTTAGAATGACTTAGCCTTGATGGTTGGTTAGTAGATGACAAGTTAACGTTCGCTTCCAGCAGATGCTAATATCGCAAACTAGGTAGTTGTTGGTAGTCGTAGTAGTTGGTAGTTGGTGTTGATAAGTATATAGATATTTATACTTTGAATAGAAACAAATTTCCCTCCCAAATATTTCAACTAAAATGTCAAAAAATGTCAAAATTTTGAATTGAAAAATATCTTCTATTTTACTTTACATTTCATTTAACTTTTACTTTACATTTCATTTTACTTTAAATTTCATTTTACTTTCACTTTACATTACATTTAACTTTACATTTAATTTTACTAATTTCACTAATTTTTGAATTGAATATAAATAACTTTGTAAGTAATATTAAATGATTTATAAAGTTAATTTGATTATTATCGTCATAAATACCTTAATGTTTTAAATTAGTTGTCAGTTCAATGTTGAAATTATTATGATCAAATATTTTACTTATTTCATCCCATAATTCTTGTGATTTGTAACAAAAAATAAAAAGATGTTCTGTTGTCTCCAAATAAGAGTTGCAGAAATCACATAAATTTGAGGTTACAATATTCATTTTAAAAAGTTTAGTATTCGTAAATACAATATGATGTAAATATTTAAACATAAATGAACGGTGTCTGGAATTAGGTTTTATTTATATTTTTGAATAATATTTCAATATCCTGATCTGAAAGTTTAATATTTAACCTATCTTCCCATTTCTTCACACATGCAGGTTTACTATAGTTTATATATTTATAAGCTTATCATAAATAATTTTAGATGAAATGTTTTTAAAATTACATTTATACAGTTTGTTTAAATTTGTATCTAAAATTTTTTCTATTGATTCTTTATAAACTAATATATCATTATCTTTTGCATCATTTTCTTTTAAGTATTGAACTGCACAATTAATAAATTTACTTATGCATGTGTAAATTAAAGGTGAAAGATTCTTTTTGTTGGTCAATTTCAACAATATCCGATACAGTTAGTATATTATTATTTATGAGATGTTCATCAAAAAGATAATTTCTATTTAATTTTAGGTTTATATTATGTCATAAAATTTGTTCTTTTGGTTTTGATATTTCATTAATGAATTTTGTATAAATTTCATACCAGTTTTCATATAGCATGGAATAGAATGGAACAGAAATGTCTAATTTTTTTGGATAAATGCAAATAGGAAGAAAGGTATAGTCTGAAGTCTCCTAATTTTTCATTATATATCTATATGGTATTAACCAGGTCTGATTATTGGAATATACCAGTTTCTTAATCCAAAAAATTGAAGTACATGTTAATAAAAGTTTCAAGTTAACCATGTTTAAGCCACCGTTTCTATAATTTTTAGTCAATAAACATCTCTTCAACTTATCTACTCCATTCCAGAAAAATTTATACAGTAGTGAAACAATCTGGTCAACAAATTCTTTAGAATACACTATAACAGAGGCGGGGTAAAGGATTTTCGGTATAATGCAGGTTTCCTATTAAACTCAGATTATGTCTCATCCACGATTTTTTCATTTTTAGGGATCAGATCAATAAAATTTAATTTTAAGCTTGAGGTATAGCTTAATGAAAAAAAGATACCAAAAATTTTAATGAGATTTTCACATTTGTTAACTCCAAAGTTTGATATTTTTGCAAATTCATTTTTAGGGATATTAAGATTTAAAGCTTCTGTTTTACTACATTTATTGTTAATCCTGATACAAGGCTGAATAGTTTTAGAACTTCAAAAAGATGTCTTGCAGATTCATAGTCTTTGAGGAAGGCAGTTATGTCGTCAGCAAAGGCTATTAATTTAATTGCTTTTTTTCCAAAATTGATGCCTTTAATACACTCATTATTTCTGATTGCATCTAATAAAAGTTCAATGACAAAATTAAACAAATTAGATAACATGGGGTCACCTTGGCGAACTCCTCTATTAACCTTAAAAGACTTAGTAGTATATCCATTGTTAATTAAGCAACACGTAATATTTGAATACAGAGTTTTAACCCATCTGATGAAGTTTTTGCCAAAACCAAATTTGACAAGAGTTTGGAAGAGGAAGGGGTGTTCGATATTGTCAAAGGCCTTACAAAAATCGATTGCCAGAAGGAATCCAGTTATTCTTTTTTGTTTAGCAAGTTCAAAAATGTCACTTACAATTCTCAGGTTTTCCTGGATATGTCTTCCTGGTATAAATGCAGTTTGATTTGGATGAAACAAGTGGTTAAGAAAGGGTTTCAGTCTAATAGAAATTACTTTACTCAAAATTTTAACGTCAACATTAACGAGTGTTATTGGTCGCCAATTTGATAAAAAGGATCTGTCCTTATCTCCCTTAGGAATCAATTTTATAATAGACTGACGTTGGCTGCTAGATAGTGTCTGAAAACTAAAATTATACGAGTTGAGTAGGTATTTATAAATTTATGGCCAAAAAGTTGAATAAAATTCTATAGTTAGTCCATCATTTCCTGGTGTTTTATTGAATTTAAAAAGTTTAATTGCTTCATCAATTTCAAAATTCTACTTTATATTCAAATATATGTTTTACATTGTCGTCAATTTGCCTGTTTTGCTATTTTTTAGTATTGAATTTTCTTGTTTCATATACTTCGAAGAATACAGATTTTTCATAAAAAGATATATTTCGTTTAATATTAATTTTTGATCAAAAATCTGATTTCTATCATTTGTGGTCAATTTTTTGATTGTTGATTTTGACTTATTTTGTTTTTCTAAATTTCACCTTGTTCATAAAAATCGAATTTTGATCTAAGAATTGCTCCTGCAACTTCATTTTCGTATAATACATTTAACTTAGTTTTGTTAAATTGTAATTGTTCCAATTTCTCTGAGATAATTCCTTGAAAGGTTGTGTTTGATATTTCATTTTCTAATTTTTTCATCTCAAGTTCTAGATTATTTTTCAGTCCACGTTTTATTTTTTTGTTTACTTTTTGAAATTTTATAGTCGTCTCTCTGATTTTGAATTTTATGAAATCCCACAGACCATTATGATCTGTAATATCGAAATATTCATTTTTCCAATTATCTAAACATTTAATGATTAATTGCTTGTAATTTTGATCTTTTGTTAACAGAGAGTTATGAATATGTATACACATACCGAATTTCATTTGATTCCATCAAAAAATCTAGTTTCAGAGCGTTTACAAGCAAATGATGTACGGACGGACGGACCGACGGACAGGGGTGCCGACAATATACGTCCACATAGAGAGATGTGGGCGTATAATGAAATGTAAAGTAAAATGAAATGTAAAGTAAAATAAAATGTAAAAATAAATGAATTGAATTTTGATTATTAATTTTAAGGTAAGATAGTTTTTTTATGACAAACACACTCCTGCAATCATAGGCCATCATACTTCTGTTATTAGTACTTTTTTGAAAAGATATTCTAATAACCTTAATCCAGACTGTTAATATCATTCTATTACCTTTCTTTTAATATTTGACCTACTGACTAGTAACATACTGAAGGGTCTACAGTTATTGAATGTTGTTATACAATTAGTTGTTGTCATCATTTGGATGGGTATTTAATTTACCGAAATCTTGTATTCAATTACATTTTTCATTGTATTTTCAAATCAGAGGAAGTAAGACAGGTAGAAGTATGAGGCCAGACATGTAAAGGGGGATATATGTCAATGCCCTGAAAATATTTGGTGAGCTTCAATACCACTTAAAGACTTTAATAAAGGGACTCGACTAAGCTGATGGGCTGAATAATGTTTTGGATTTCGTTTAATGTTTTTTGATGTAGTCTGCATGGTAGATTTCGGAAAACTTATACATTGTATACTTCGAAAAGCAACGGAGATTGAAATTTCAAAAATGATGCTGCATCAGAGACCTTGAGTTGATAGAACTAAGTTACCTGATAGAGAAACTGTATCTCTCTTTCGTCTGGAATGGTAGCTAGTTTCCTCTGGTAAATCTGGAATGATTAAAAGAGGAAATCTATAGTTGATCTAACCAATCATCATAATTCAATGTATCATGCTTTTTTAACATAAGGCATACTATAAAATTGCAGACATTTATAGCAGATGGAATTTCATTCTAAATGCGCTTTAGTCATATGATATGAATGTGTCAAAAACGCACAGGCAATATATTTACCCTAGCTATATGTTTCAGCTGGTAAACATTGTGTTATTTATATATTCATATTGTATGTATTATTATTACAATATAATATTATGTCGAATTAACCCCTTTAAGTGAATTCACAATTCACAGCAAGTAGAAGAAAATAAAAAAAAATATCGTGACATATTTAAGAACCGTCAACCAATTATTCTCGGGTTGCATCCTGGACAAATATGTGAAATATTGATCAAAACGTACAGGATTTCGCAACCATTTCAAATATAACTCCATTTCTGTCAGCATGAAATACTTTTTCTAGTCATTAGTAACAAATTGACAGTAAAACTGTTACGAAATGCTCCACTGGGTCAATTTAGCTTGGTTCATTAGTCACAATTCTAAGAAGTATTAATACACGGAGTCAGAATTCTTTGGAAGCATTAATATATTGAGTTTTAGTGTTTAGAATTATAATGTCTTTATCTCGGTTTTGATCAATTTGAACATTTATTGTCGTCAACTCACACGTCAACTATGACCTGATGGGGTCTTGACAATTGCAAAGACATTCTGTACGTTACGATGTTGTTGTATAATCAATATTTTTCAATTTTCAACAATTTGTTGTCAACAAAGAATTATTTGAACCTGAAAAAGTTTTCCATTAAAACTTATCTATGACTTCTTCATGCTTTTGGTGTCTGCATTTTATCAAACTTTACTCAGAACTTTTCCCGAAGCTTTCCACCCACTATTTCAACATTATTATCAATCACCATTGTGGAAAACCTTTTAGCGCTTCGATTTCTCTGTGTGATATAATGATAATCGGAAACAGAACAGAATTAAGATTATAATATTGCCTTTCACTGGGAAAAACTGTGATATTTGACACGTCATCTGTTAATGTGTTCTTACGCCGTTTATATATTTACGCCAATTGTCAGAAATCTTTCATCTAACATATCTTTCAAATATGGTTTCTCCTTGGAAAAATGATATAGAATTTAGAAGTGATGAGTGTCATCATACATACGCATTAAATAAGTGCGAATTAACCTCTGGGTCATAAATACGTGGTCCCTAAATGAATTAAATTCATCGGTAAGTGTCATTATACAGGACTTATTCTCAACATATTTTTTTTCATTGTTTATCTTTCACATTAAGTGTCACGCACACGTCTATGTGTGTTTGTGTTGCAAATGATTCTGTCACCACTTACAAGTTACTTGAACTCGTATTACTGAAATCAAAATTAGACCAAACGTTTATTCTGTTTCTTATTAGCTTGTATTGTTGATATAGACACTTAGACATTCAGTTGGGTTCTAAAGACGGCCTTCTTGAACATAAATCTGTTTGACGACGCGAACAAAAATTTATTCTGAGAAGCATTAGACTCTGAGAGCCCTTTTTGTTCGCGTCACAAAATCCCAGCGTTGGAGTGGGCTGAAATTTGATTGGCTGGCGATGCACAAGTAGGTCGTCTTTAGACCCTAATTGAAGTGGCTATATTAAAATTAAAGCTCATAAAAGAATTGGTCTAATATTAATTTGACTGGTCTGAAATGAACCTTACTAGTTATAGAGGTCAGAATTAAGTAAAATACAAACCTATTTTATATGCAAAGGTATTGGTTGTACCATGTAATTTCAAATCATACGCGAATCTGAAATTGACAATCAATTAAAGATGGGTTTCCTTGTACAGTCTGGATAAACAAAAACACAAATTTTGAACTTTCTTGATCAGTGTCTCATTGGAATACTTCTGGTAATTCTCTTCTAATTTAGCTAATAATGAATTAATTATGGACATGTGAGACAAACTGATATTTTTCCAAGTCATTAGAACACCATTACTTTCCTATTCATATAAGTATTAACATTTTCATTTTCATAATTGAAAATAAGGGAACCCATCTTTATTAGAATAAATTCAATATTGCATGGTCTAGTTAATCCCACTATGACATGAACAAGACCATTTGCGTTCAACAATATAGTGGGATTAATCTTTTGTAATATTGCATTTGTATTCGAGTGGAATACAACTGGGAATTAATTAATATTATGTACATTATTAAGTATCATAGAATGTACATCAACAACAAATCAATAGCCAGAGAGGAAAGTTATTCTAATTCAGCACGAAGAACTGATAAAATAGGAATTTATCATATGCAATACGTGATATATGAGTTTATAAGAATATATAATAAATAGTTTTATCAATCATGTCACGTTTCATGTGTGACCTTGACCTCATCTCCCTATCTGAATTCAGGTGAAGAATCTCGCACCCAAATTTTCGCAAATTGAGTAAAAATGATATTTTCAGTATTTGAATCTACAATATCTCACTAAGTTTTTAAGAAAATAATGGTATATCAATATTTCTCAAAGGCATTTGGATTTATTTCGTGAGATTAAAAAAAAATGATATGGTATATACTTATTGCATACCGTGCCATATACACATGAAACAAGTTTTAACATTCAACTTACATTAAAAAATCAATGCCGTCCACAACTGTTGAACGAAACAAAGTCGTTAATACAAATTTATCTCGATGGCCTCTTTTATTCCGCGTCAGAATAAATGTGTTATTTGTTCCATTACAGGAAGTGACAATACCATTAGATGGTCGAACGGAAGTAATAGAATTACCACTTCCAGGCAAGTGAAGCCATACACCATGGACGCTTGGACACCTTCTGATAACCACTGAAATGAGAAAAAAGCATATTGAAATTATTGAAAGGATGTCTGGAGAAAGGATAATAATATAGATAATATAAATCTACCAAGCAATTTGTTTTCACTATGGCACAATAATGTTTCAGATAATAACTTGTTAACATCGTCCCTGAAGCGAACTGTCATGAGCAGGGGATCCGTGACCATTTATAAAATACTAGTTAAATATTATGTGACTCAGCAATTCCAGCTTGTCAATGTATTGCCTACGTCGACATGCACAATGTTCAGTATGTTCCGATCTAGTCGTATTTATGCAGAATATAATTAAATCAATAATATTGTCAACTTGAACGTCTATTATATCAACGTACAATAATAAATCACCATTGTAAATGTAAACTTCATTACGTCAGTAAAATTATTTATGATAGAGAGTCATTAATGTCAGTTTTTTTGATTCCATAAAACGAACAAGGTCTGAGTCTAAGTCAAGGGCAATAACTCGAAAACCGTTCATCGAAAAATCGTGAATATCGAACTTGTCCAAGATCTCATCAATATAAAGTGAAAAAAAAACTTGGAAGTCGGAAGTGAAAAAATAACTTGGAAGTTGGAAGTTGGAAGTCCTGACCCGGCTTTCGTAGTATCTAGCAGGTGGAAGCTGGAATACCATTTACTTAATTGCATGCAAGAAATTTCCAAAACAATATGTAGGAGATACGTAAAATAATTTAGGGCTAACAGATCAGATATTGAACTAAAGAAACACAGTCTTATCTTATCTTTCAACTTTGTCGACCATTCATTAGACTATCCTACCCTACTTACTATTAAGCGCACATAGATTGATTAACCAGATGATGGCTCACGAAATTTTTTCATTTGTGCATTGGATAATGACACTTAATAGGACTAGATATTCTCCACACTGCTAACATAGTACTCTTTGTTGTCCCATTCAATACCACCAGTGATCGTGCATGAAAGACCATTTAGTCATTATCATCGTCATATGTATAAACCTTTATCTAACACTATCTAACAGGCCTGGATGAATGAAGCCCTCGTATTCTAAAATTATCTCCAGAATACATTGCTGCACCATTAATGTATATCATTAATTTATGTATATCTGAAAATGTTTTCCCTGAAAAACTTTACAAGTAAGATTCCAGTTTCATCTAATGACAGGCCAATATCAATTCTACAAACTATATCAACAATATTTGAAAGACATATTGCCAATAATATTAAAGACTTTTTCACTAAACATGGACTAATCAACAAATTTCAAAATTTTTTTTATGATAGCAGCAAGTCTGTTTTGGCAATATTCAATCACAACTAAATACTGCTAAATGTGGTGTCCCACAAGGTTATATTTTAGGACCAATTCTGTTCTTTATTTTTATTAATGACCTACCATTATTTATCGATAATTTAACCACAGAAATATTGTTGATACAATTCCAATAAAGATATAAATCTTATAGAACGATCGATGCAAGGTGATGTAAATAACATTGTTGATTGGTGTCAGAATAATGGAATGGCACTCAAATAAAACAAAATCTATGATGATAAGAAATCACTGTATTCAAAATAATTTACTACTAAAATGAAATTCACAGCCTATAGAAAATGTCTCTCAAACAATCCTACTTGGATTACGATTGATGATCACTTAGACTGGGAACAACACCGTAAATAATTACATGGAAGCTTAGCTTCACAAATTGACCTCCTCAGTAGGATTAAAAACATTTACATTATTTTATAATAGTCCTATACTATTTGTAATGGATTACTGTAATATTGTATGGTGAAATTTGATGGTATTCTAAAACTTAAAAAACGTGCGGCAAGAAGTATCCTAGACGCGAACTATGATGTAAGACCGACAGACATGTTTTCTAAATTATTTAGAAAAAAATGCTTAATCCTAACATCTAATGTTTCTACAACAAATCTATGTCTTGGCTCTGAATCGGACCAAAAATTATATTTGCCTTAAAGCGAACTATGACGATGACTTTTATATACAGCAAGTTTATTATGTATCATTACCTCTTAATTTAAGGTCATCACCATCACTTTATATGTTAAGAAATAAGCGAAAGACAGAACTAAAATAAGATGTTCAACATGATATATTTACTGTACCTTATAATATAATCTTTTTCTCTTGAAAAATTCGTGTTTTTTGTTGGTTTTATACCATCTTTGTATACATGAATATATTTCACTTTTTGAGAATATGGTCTGCTTCTTTATCACAATTCATTTAACTTTATCCCACTTATTGCTAAAATTGTTCTTTTTGTAAATATGTTTATAATGTATATATGTTCCATGGACTCCAAGGAAGATTTGGTTAAGAAATGATTATCAATAAAGTTATTATTATTATCAGTGGACGTATGCGACGTGGGAATTGGAATAAAATAGAATTATTATATTCAACATCAGTATAAATTGTGGAATTCAAAGTGATATAATACATCAAATGAAATCACAATTATAAGATCAATATTTAACAACATCAGTAAGAATTAGCTCTGATACAGATAACAACAGAGCAGGATTTGATTCCTACAGACAGCAGACAGTTTTACACGAACTAAGCACTCAGGTAACATCCTCTTGCTAGACGGTTTCCTACGTTTTTGATAAAGTCCATCCTCTGTTGCCATAAGCAGTATCCACTTTTTTGATCAATATATTGTTAAGATGTATTGAACGTGCATACATACGTGTGCCCCTTGGTTTGTTAAATAATTCATAAGATGAAACTCGTATGTCGATCTGTTTTATTCTATCTAGGACCGGTGCATATCATACTATTTACGTTAATTATAATTTTCGTTACATTATTCCGTGTCTAAACTAGGTTGGGCATTTCTAAAAACGGGATAGGTACAGCTTTTCAGTATTGAACTATTCCGTCCAATTTCTGGTTGAAACTTCCCGATTTTGCAGGTGAAACAACTCAAATGATTGAATTACCAGTCAACCTTACAAATACAATGCTTGTATTATATTTCATTCCGAATTCATACTTCATGAAAAGGAATTTTAGATAATTGATATGTGATCTTTAGAAAGTTGACAAGTCAGATTAAATTGTCCTGTCAATTTGAAGAAATTTGAGAGTGAATGATTGAGAAAATTATCTAAAAAAAACATTAAACATGGGTTCCCATATTTTCATTTATGAAAATAAAAATGCTAATACTTTTATGAATAGAAAGTAGAGGTGTTCTAATGACTTGGAAAAATACCAGTTTGTCTCACATGTCCATAATTAATTCAGAATTAGCTAAATTAGAAGAGAATTATGAGATGAGATCAAACAGGTCAAAAATTTTTTTTGTTTATCCAGACTGTACATTCATGGACGTTTATGATTGGTTAAAACTCTTAATCATTATGCAGTAAGAACATAATGATATGATTAGGAATACATGATAATTCATCAGAAACACCAATTAATCAAATAGTTTGCTTAGTTTGACACTAAAAAAATAAGGAAACCCATCTTTAAATTATTATATTCCTGATGATGGTGTGAGAAACACATTGAAATGTTGAAGTAATAAATATTCTTGAAGTATCTATCCATAAATTGTCTTATCCATCTTTAAATGTTATCGTTGGTTGAAAAATATTATCAAAAGTAAACGAAACGAAATACACAACTGTAATCATTCATCAAATATACATATAGGAAAATAGCTTTCCAGGCAAGATAATATGCGCCAGAGCAGCAGATTAAATTATTGTAATTCAATTGCATTATATGCAATTTTGATCTGTTTTACATAAATCAAACTATCTTAGACATAATTTTGTTACCAATTCAAATTGAATATTATTATCTACAAGTCTACAAGTCAATCTTGATGAGTTCAATATGAAGCTTCGTAAAATGATTATTTTTAGTGGAATTTCAGGAACCACAGACGATTGGCTGAAAACTGAAATGGTGCAATTCGCTGAACTCAGTGTCCCCAATTCACATAAAAAGTTTAAAAACCTATTTACAACCTATTTAAATCATGGACACCTATAGATCATATAGTGTTTGGTCGGGATTTTTTAAATATGTCGGTTTAGGGGGTTTCATTGTAAATATGATAAATGACGTACATTGCATCTTGCTCATATATAAGCAGGTTACGAAAAGTTTTATTTGAATTGTCAAGTATATACGTATTTCAATTCGAGTCGAAATTCTTCCACTTGAATATAAACAAGTAACTATTTTAGGAAAATTTACCAAGTTAATTCCCTTGGCGAATTATTTCTTACAATACGGATAGTATTGTGAAATCGTTTCACACATTACACTTTATACATTTCCATTATTTAGACTCAGACTAGAGTTGATATAGAAGAGTCTGGGTAAGTATTAAATGAGCCAGAATACGATTTGGTAATGTGTCCATGTCTTCCTGACCTTGGAATATTAAGAAGTGATTATTAGATGTTTATTCTAGGGACCACGGTGTCATGATGTAGTTGCCTCACCCCTCACGAATTATCGTGATCCTTAAAATATGGATGAAATATGAACTTGCACCACGTAATGTCATGTCACTAGAACAAGGAATATTAAATAAAAATAAATCATTATTATCTTGTATACTGCCTTTTCTATTGAGTGCCGTACACTCTCACCACTTTATTATCAACGAACAATTAATAACTCTTCAGATAAAAGAAAGAAATGCGGTACTGTAATTTAGAATGTCCTGTTCAAGGTAAGGCTAATGTAGCAGATAATTTATCATTAAATTAAAATATATGATATCTAGGTCTAGTTTTTGCTAGGGAGTTGATTGGACATAAACGTAGGTCAGTCCCTGCTGTAAAATCAAATGCTTAAGATTAAGATTATAGAACTTAGTATAGCTCTCATTACTGCTCTAGCGTGAGCATTCAACGGCGCTTCATTCCGATAAAAGACAAATAATAATATGAATCGTATCAATTTTTTGAGCCAATATCTTACTGACATTGTGCTCCGTAATAGAAAAACCGTGGCGTGATAATCTTAAGCTGGTATATAAAGTCTATAAGGACTACCTTCAATTTATGCATGTCGAGTTCTTTTAAAAAGATTGTGTCAAACCAGGTTTCGTGTCTCGATTCACTCGGGAAGAACTTTTTACTTTCTCACTTTTCGTAATTTTAAAATGTCGATTTTTCCCCAGATAACGAAAAAAAATACTTTGCACGTCACACGTTTTTCAAATTGGACAAAATGTAATAGTGTTAAGTGCTGATTTAGTTGTGCACGCGATCTTCTATTTAAGGTATATAGTTCATTGAGCAGTCTGTTGACATTCTGATGGAATTACGTTTGTGCTCACACAGTTCTTGTAAGAACTTAAAAAACAATC